AGCAGGCAGACTTCAGAAAAACCTGGAAAGACTTGTATGGTCTGATGCTGAGTGAAGTGAGCAGAACCAGGAGAACGTTGTATACAGTAACAGCCATGTTGTGCGATGACTAATATTGATAGACTTAACCCTTCTCAGCAATGCAAGGATCTAAGACATCTCCAAACGCCTCATGATGGAAAATGCCATCCACACCTAAAGAAAGAACTTCGGAGTTTGAATGCAGATCGAAGCATACTATTGCCTATTTTTTTTTCTTCTGTTGTGTTTTGTTTCCTCTTTCTGGTGGTTCCTCCTATTGGTTCTAATTCTTATTTACAACATCACTAATGCATTTAATAGGAATGTATATGTATAGCCTATATCAGATTGCATGCCATCTTGGGAAGGGAGATGGGGAGGGAGGGGCAGAAAAATTTAAAGCTCAAAAGCTTATGGAAGTGATTGTTGATAAATCAAAATAAATCAATAAAGTTAAACCCCCCTCAAAAAAAGTTGCATCTGGGGGACCTCACTATCTATAAAGAATCACTCTTTCATTCAGACTGCATTGGGCAGCTTTCCTGACCGACAATAGCAAACACCTTCTGGGTGAGCATATTGTCTCCCTATTTATGTATCACTTGATCCCAGTAATCAGGGGATCATGGAAGAAGTCATCTCTCTGCATGAGCTTAATATGTAAGTGGCAAGCAACCTATTAAGAGACTTTAAAGCTCTATTTGGCCCTATTGAATCAAATGCCTTTGTATAGTCAACAAATGATAAGCTCCCTCATATTTTCATCAAACTTATACAAATGATTCTCATCAAGGATTTGTAGAGATGAGAAAGTAGGTCTGCAGGTTAGGAGTTATTTATGTCCTCTCTCTCTCTCTCCTCTCTCTCTCTCTCTCTCTCTCTCTCTCTCTCTCTCTCTCTCTCTCTCTCTCTCTCTGTATTTGGTAGATATTAATAACATCAATGATTCTTCCCAATGGGTCAGTTTCTTCCCCTCCTTCAAATGTCTTGAGAATGGATCTTCAAAACCACAGCACCTCCAAGCACAGACATCCTTTGTGCCTGCCTGTTTTGCTCCAGGTACTCTTCCCAACCTTATTTTCTTTAGTAATAGTCTTGCTTTCCAATTCAACATGTGAAGGATGATGATATTAGAATCTGAATCTGAATATGATGACTGTATTGCATGAAGGAAATCTTTAAAGAAGTAGCTTCCCTTTTTTGATCTGTTATCCTCTTTCCAATTTTCTGTTTAAATGCACACAGGACAGGCAAACTCCTGATGAGATTTGTATTGCTCTTTTCAGAGATAACTTTCACTGAAGGTTGCAGTTTCCATATTTATTCCAAATAGTCCCTGCATTTAAATATGTGTGTGTGTTTGTGTGCGTGTGTGTGTGTGTGTGTACATATAATCTCTCTCTCAGGAACCTCCTTGTTATGCATGAGTCTTCTCTCCCTAACTGTGATATTGTTGTTTAGTTGTTTTCAGTCATGTCTAACTCTTTGTGACCTTGTTTGAGGTTTCCTTGGTAAAGATACTAGTTTGCCATTTCCTTCTCTAGCTCATTTCACAGATGAGGAAACTGAGGCAAACAGGGTGAAGTGACTTACCCAGGATCACACAGCTAATAAGTGTCTGAGGCCAGATTTGAACCCAGGAAGATGAGTGTTCATGACTCCAGGCCCAGCACTCTAGCCACTGCACCACCTAGCTGCCCATCTATAAACTATAGTGAGCGCCGTAATACCTCCAGGAACACATACAGACTCCTCTGATTGGGGTCAAAAGCTGGAAACCTGGCCCCTTCCTACCTTTCCGTTCTTACACTAGTCTCCCCGCTACACTATAATCCAGCTGCACTGATGCTGTTCCTCCCACATGACCCTCCATCTTCCATCGGTGCATTTGCACTGGCTCTCTCTCATACTTGAAATGCTTTCCCTCCTCCTCTTGGTTTCTCTGACTTCCTTCAAGACTCATTTTAAACCTTACTTTCTCAGGATGCCTTTGGGATACACACATTTCCCCAGATACAATTGCCTTCCTCTCTGACATTACCTTTTATCTACTCAGTATCTTCCTGTACCTGCCTAGTATTAACCTCTTATCTCTCCTATTAGAATGTGAGTTCCTTAAAGGCCATGCTGATTCTGCTTTTCCTTAGGTATCCTCAGAGCTTAGCAAGGTGCCTGACACAAAGTACTTAATACAAGCTATTTCACTAACTGGCTGCTTAATAGATGATGCCTGTTAATTGCCTGTTTGATTATGTAGGGACCAACTTTAAAAGACTGGTTCATGTAAGAAACTAATCATTTCTGAAGTGGACAAATTTCTGGACAACAGCATAGACATCTTAAGATTCTTTTTTTTTTGTTAGTAGTGAAGGGGAAAGAAAGAGGTTGATTGGGACAGAAAATAGAAACACCATATGAGTCACAGGATGGGTGGTACTCTCTGGCTTTCATTGGTTGGCCAACAATAGGTCCCAGGCCAAGCCTCACTTGATCATCCTTTGGTCCCTGATTTAGCTCAGAATGAATGTAAATAGCAATTGTTTCTGTTTTGGGCAGAAACCTTGTGGGTCTTCCCCTTCTCAGACTGATTTTTTTTTAAACTATGTCAAGAGGCCATTCTCTGCCTCATTTTCTTATTAAGCCTTAATCACTGAATGAGCACTGCCTCAGTCAAACTGAGACCTGTTAAAGACTTTAGCTTGAAAAGGGCATGGTTCCGTACTGCATCCTGAGCCATCTCCGGTTGTCCTGATCCATATCTGGCCAGTAGACCCAGATGGCTCCAGAGGAGAAAGTGAAGCTGGTGACTTTGCACAGCCCTGCCTCACTTAAATCCAATTCATTTGCATGTCATGGCATCACCTCCCTGATGAGAATGTAGGACAAAAAAACAACAACTCTCTGGGTAGAAAACATTTGAGGATCCCTACTTGATAGCAGAGGAGAGTTCCTTATAGCATTACTCTGAATTATTTGGTTCAACAGAAGACTTTCACTTTGCTAGTGATGCTCCAACAGCATCATTCCCTTAAAAAAAAAAAATGGTCTGCTGCCTTCGTTTCCGCAGACAGAGTCCCAGGCCCAATTTCATAACCTGAACATCTGGCAGCACAGCGTAGTAAATTAGCATTTGTCAAGGCTGTTTTCAATAAAATTTAAAAAAAAAGGAACCCAGAATTGCTTAAGCATTAAATGAATAAGCCCTCTGAATGTACTAGTGGCAGACACAATGTGGTAACTCTGCCAGTTTAAAATTAAATATTGATATCTTTCTCCTCTTTTGTAAGGCAACAATCTGCCTTGTACATGGTAGCTAATCATAGGCCAAAGGCTAGGTGATTTATCACAAAGAATAGATGAAATGATTGCAGAAGGCAACAAAGGGGCAATAACATTATCACTACTACCATAATGCACTTGTTTAATTAGTGCAAAGTTAATAAGCCTTATTCCTGAATTCTAACAAAAAAATCTGGGTCTTCCCCTGAAACCTACAGCAAAAGGTGAGTTCAGGAGAAAATATACAGGAAGTAATATGTATTATATTAATCATTTTGTTCGAACAAAAAGTCATGTTCTTTCAGAATTGTTGTACTATAATTGATTGGTTCAAAGAATATATCTTATTTGTATTCACTGGGCTAAAATATCTTTACAAAGCCATACAAATAAGCATGTTACCCCTCCCCCTCCAATAAAATAAATCAGATCTGGCTTTGACTAATAAGTCTGAAGAAAATTTACTAAGTCATTTTGCTGTTATATATTTTTTCGTGGGAATTTTTATTTGTGAGGGAATTCTGAGAACATTTTCATAAGAATGCATTTACTCTGCAAGCCCAGAAATATGGGAACCTTGTCAGAAGAGATATTGAGGGAACTGGATGAAAATTTTGAGTAGCTAAAAATTTCTATGGGCAATATTCACATACAAGCTCTGGATGTGGTGACAGTTAAAGTGAAATGGAAAATAAGAGAAAATAAGCCAGACCAAAGTTTTCAGGGTTTTATTTTCCTTTAAATTACCCAAATTACTGTTTTCAATCTCTCCATATAGAAACTCAATTCCACCACCACAGTACAAAGTGAAATATAGATCCAGCAATGAAATGATGAATTTAATCAATGTAGGTAGCTATTTGATGGCAAGTCAATGGGGCAATGGAAAATTTCACTTTGATGTCTTAAATCTAATGTAGCTATCTTCACTGATCAAAATGAATTAATAAATGTATGAAGGAGGGAGGGAAGTAAAGTTAGTTATTAAATGCTTACTATGTGCCAAGCACTGTGCTAAGGGCTAGAGATACAAATAGAAAAATAAGACAGTCCCAGCTCTCAAGGAGCTCACATTTTAAAAGAGGAGAAAACACATTTAGGAGATTTCATTGTTGTTTGTCCTTTTTTCTTAAAGAGGACCAATGATAACAGAAGGGGAATGTCTTAAATTGGATTTAAGTGAGGTAGGACTGTGCAAAGTCATCAGCCTCACTCTCTCCTCCAGAGTCATCAGTCTAGTAACAAGACATAGATCAAAATGACTGGAGATGGACCCAGATGCAATGGGAGACCTTGGCCTTTCAAGCTAAGGTCTTTCCCAGATCTCAGTTTGTCTGAGGCAACATTCATTCAGTAATTTAAAGCTAGGTAAGAAATGAGGCTATAGGTGATCTAGTTTGCCTACTCAAAAAAAAAAATCTGTGAGAGGAAGACCTTCAGGGTTTCTGGCCAGAATGGAAACAATTACTATTTATGCTCACTCTGAGCCATCAAAACTCAACCAATGAGATAATGAGGCTTAGGCTGGGACTTATTATGGGCCAATCAGTGAGAGCCACAGTGATTTGGATTTAAAGCATGGTCAAGTAGCTCCATTTGAATTCCAATGGGCTTTATCAAATCCTGGTTTTCCAGAACTTTATTTCAAGAAATCATAAATGAAACTACATGGGCCAAAAGAGTTAATTGTCCCAGTTTTTTTTTTAAATGATAGAACAAATAAGTAGAGAAGAAAGGAGGTTTCAAGTATAGGGCAGATGGAAAGGTCAGAGATCCTTAAAGGACAATGGCAAAACAGATGTCAATGAATCTTCTTCAATGTCACTTCCACTGATGAAACCACTTCTATATCTAATATGGAACTATTTAACAGTGTCAAGGACTTTGGTGTGAGCTTTCTTTTCTGGGTCTTCTGTACCTGTGACTTCTGAGGTGGCAGGGACTTCAGTTCTATAAGAGATAGTTTTGAAATCAAATCTCTATAAGGATTATTGTAAGCAGAGCTGGTGGTCTGGAGGGCTCTTAAGCTTCCTGGTCCATCAGTAACAGTTGGTCGGAGGTTGGTGTTGGGGATAGAGGTCATAGCAGGATCTGTCTCCGTAAAGGTATTCTCTTGAATGGTGCTTGCTGGGCCAGAGCTGGAAGCAGGACCAGTAGTCTGGGAGGCCTTGGATATAATGGATATAATCTTTACCAGGGTCTGAGGAGAAGTGGTTATAAATATGGTGGCAATGGTTTGACCAGGTTGGTGCATGCTGACTTCTGTCTCTCCCTCAGAGTTCCTTGTTGCCTCAGCCAAGCTGGCTTGACCACCCCAGAGGCAGCAAATGGTCTAGAGTTGATGTTGCTTCATGGTAAGGATGACTGATCTCCTCTCCATAGGTGTTATTCCCTTGAATGAGTGCCAGGCTAGAAGCCAAATCATAGAATAATATCTAAAAAATTAAAATTAGAAAATAGGGAGGTTGGGCAGTAACTCTCATCCTATTAAAAAAAGATTTATTCCCTAAAGGCCACACCATGGATTATTATCATTAAAATGTGACTTACTTCTCAATCATTCTTTTTCTAGAAGGCTTTTTCTTTCCCCCTAGCTCAGTAAATCCTATCATCACTAGTGCTCACTATTGGAGAAAATAGCCCAAGAGAAGATGTCTTCAACTCTTCCTTTAGCTAGAAAATTAAACTTTCAACTTTTAAAAGTGTTGCAATTATCTAGCTGTAAAGTCAAAAGTTGAGCCCAGATCACATAGCATGCTTTCGTCTGGTGCATTTGAAACTTGTATGATCATGTAATATCTGCCCAAGGTTTAGGGTTTTACCTAACTACTTAAACAATAAAGATAAAATACTTTCGGGACTGCCAAGGTAAATAAGCCACAGGTAAGCTTTTCAAAAGTTAGATCCAGTTTTAAACTGTTGCAATCAACAGATCAATTTTGAACCTGAAATTTCCTGTTCCATTAGACAAATGGTACCACCCTTATGTCAAACATCATGAGTTCAAGCCTATAAGGGAAAAGTGTAAAGGGCGATATAATACAATGTAATATAATATAATGTAATACGATACGATACGATACGATACGATACGATACGATACGATACGATACGATACGATACGATACGATACGATACAATACAATACAATATAATATAATATAATATAATATAATATAATATAATATAATATAATATAATATAATATAATATAATATAATATAATATAATATAATATAATAAATATAATATAATATAATAATATATAATGTAATATAATATAATACAATATAATGTAATATAATGCAATATAATATAATACAATATAATGTAATGTAATATAATGTAATATAATACGATTAATATAGTATAGTATTGTATTGGGGGGGTGTATTGCTGTATATCCAGATAATGAAAGCTACCGTGGGGATTGGTTTGTCTTTTTTCAACCCAATTTTCCTGGTTAAGGGCTTCAGTTCTCAGTTCTAGGTGTCTACACATGACCTTAGGATGTCTTTCTTTGAGACTGGTAACATTTTCTAACAATTAGAATCAACCTTTCATCACCTTTCACTTGGACAATTGTAGGAACATCCTAATTAGTCTTCCTGTCTCAAGTCTTGAATGAATGAATGAATGAATGAATGAACAAATGAAAGAAAAAGCAGTTATTTATTATATGTCAAGAAATTTACTGAATGCTGAGCATACAAATTAAGAAGTGAAAGTAGTCCTTGAACTAAAGGATATTATTTTCTAAGAGGGGGGAGGGAAGAGAGGGGAGAGAATACACAAAGGAAGTGGTGGCCTGTAAGGGGTATTTTGGTTTGGGAAGTTATAGAGATGATGAATAGATGGAGGTATAGATTAGGTTGACATACTCTTTCCAAAAGCAAATGGTTGTGTTCATTTTATTTTAGTTCAAGAACTGTATAGCAGGGATTAGTAGAGCCTAGAGGGACCTCAGCTTTCAAGAGGATGGCTGAGGAGCAAAGTGAAGCAAGGCTGGAGAAAACCTAGGTATAGTGGCCCACATGAGGCACTCACCAATTAGGACACTGGTGAGTTCCTAAGGTGGAATTCCAGAGATGAAGGAGTTAAGTCCAGGGCAAGTCTCTTATCCAGGTGGAATCCTCCACACAGCTGCCAAAAGAGACATTCCTAAATCAAAGATCTGACAGTCGTTCCTCTGCTCAGTAAGGTTCAGTGGCTCCCTATTGCCTCTAGGCTTAAATACAAACTCCCCTGTTCACCATTTAAAACTTGCTTATTGATTAAGTGATTGAACAAAGGGCTTGTAGTGCTGTGACAACTTACATAGAGCTCCATTTCGTTGAAGGAGGATCTGATCAGTTGTAAGGTAAAATTGGGTTTAGGAACAAAATGGGTTTTCAAGCTATCTTAGCTGGTGGCAAACATATGGAAGTCAAGTATTGATCAGAAAGATACACTGATGCCATGGCTCTCAGAGCATATATCCATTGGACATGGATACTATAGTAGGCCACGGAAGACATGGCCTACTATATAAACTGTTTACACATAATATCTTTATAAATATTCAGGGAAAAAAAAAGTTTGATCTGGGGTCTCCTTTCCATATCTTATCCCCAAACATAGTATGCCTGAAATACTTGGTTTATAGTAGGATTTCAGAGCTGCAAGTGACTTAATAAATCATTTAATCTGAAGCTCAGAGATGTCAAGCATTTTGCCAAAAGTCACACAGCAAGTTAGTAGCAAAACTGGAATCCAGAATCCCGAGTCCTTGACTGGATAGATACAGACAATACCACTAAATATTCGAGCTTTAAATATCTAAAATATTTGAGTATACTATATTTAACACCAGTAAAAATAAACTACATTCTGCAGGCATGTGTAGACCAGTGTTGTTCAAACCAGTTTGGTCACAGAATACTTTTTGACTTTGAGTCCATCAAAGAAAGTATGTCATCAAGGAAAATATCCCAAATCCAGAGGCAGAAGAGCTAGGTTCAAAATCTAACCTCGAAAACTTAGCTGTGTAACCAAGAGCTCAGAGCCTTAATAATAATACTTGTACTACAATATTGTTGTTAAGACAATACTCTGTAAAAGTTGAAGCATGCAAAAACATTAAATGTGAATTATTCTTGGTCCAAGGAATCTAGGCATATTCCTTGAGCACCAATCTCACTCCTTACTCAATGAACTCTCCTGTCTTCCTATAGCTTCTAGGATCAAATAAAAACGATTTTGTTTTTAAAAGCTCAGTACAACCAGGCTCCCACCTCTGTTTCCAATGTCATTAGACATTACTCCTCCTCCCACATATTTGGATCCAGCCAGACCAGCCTCTTCTCTGTTCCCCATACATGACATTTCATCTCCAGTCTTTGTGTCTATGCATTGGCCATACCTCGAACACCCTCTCTTCTCACAAAATCCTTTTCTTTCTTAAAGATACAATTCAAACATCATCTTCTGCACAAAGCCATTCCTGATTTTCCTCAAATGTCAATGCCCTCATTCCCAAACAACTTATATCAAACTACTCTATAGTTTAATAGCACTTAGCACAGTGCCTGGCACATAGTAGGTGCTTGATAAATGTTATTGAATAAATATTTGTATTTATTCATTTTACATTTATGTTCTATGTATTTTGATATGTACTTGTCTCTCTCAGAATGAAAGTTCCTTATAAAAAGACTTTTTTTTACTACTATCCACAGTGTCTAGCACAGTGATTGGCACATAGTAGGTGCTTAGTGAACACTTATTAATTGATTAGCGGATAGAATACTCCTAGGACAAAGCAAAGTTTAAAAAAAACCATGGAGCAAAAATTATACGCATTCTTTAAGAACACCTATTGCTAAGGACACCTACTGTTACGAACAATGAATATTTTTGATGTAGACATGATTCTATACTTCATGCTTCAGAGGGGAAAATGTAACCAACACCAAAATGTTCCTGTGATACCTACAAATATAGGTACAGATATTGAATAGAATAATCTCATTGTGTCCTCATTTGGATACTTAGAATATTTTTTTGCATTGGGTAGAGAGTAAGATTGGGTACATATTATTGGTTCTTATTTTTAAGAAGGCCAGTCACCTAAAGAAAGATGACACCTGCCAATAAAGTACATTATCAAAAAAAAAAAAAACTTGGGCATTCTGGGGGAATGTAAATAGCTTTTAACTAATCATCAGAGATCCCTTGGTTACTGAGTGGTTTGCAACTCATCAGCTCTCTAAACAGACTTGTTTTCATTGTTTTTAGGACTTCCAGATGGGACCCCAAAATAATTCCAGCTCTCCGCTAGTTACTGGCTCTGCGACATGGGATGACTCACTGGACCCCTCCGAGCCCAAGTTTGTTCATTTACAAGATGAAGAGGTCAAACTAGCTGACTTCTCCAGCGTCTTCCAGATGTAGATCTATGATCCTGTCATTTTCCAACTCTACATCTTATGTACTTCTATGACCTGGTGTCATAAACCTATGACCCATACGGTCAGTGATAGCCACCAAATGTCAAGCTCTAATTTTATTACAGTTTTATTTGGAATTGTGGCATGATAAAGAGATATTTGTGACTCATGGTTGGGCTGTGCTAATATAATAAAAATGACAAAACTACCTAGCTAATTTACAGATTTAGTGCCAAAGCAGTCAAAGTACCAACTGGTTATTTTATAGAACTAGACAAAATAATAACAAAAAATCATCTGGAAGAACAAAAGGTCAAGAATCGCAGAGAAAATGATGAAAAAAGGGAGGGGTGGCTAGCAGTTCCAGATTTCAAACGTCACTACAATAGAATAATCATCAACACTATTTGGTACTGATTAAAAAGCAGAATAGTTGATCAATGGAACAGATGAATCAAATAAAACAAGATCTAAAAGTAATTGAACATAGTAGCAGAGTGTTTGATAAAGCCAAAGACAAAACAATTACAGGAAGGACCATGTGTTTAGAGCTGGAAGAGACCTCAGAAGCCTTTGAACACAACCCCTCATGCTACACATGAGGAAACTAGCTGAGGAAGGCTAAGTGACCTGTCTAGGTCACACAGTTCACAAGTGTCTGAAACAGAATTCAGATTCAGGTCTTCCTGACTCTAGTTCCAGACTTCATCCGCATACCACCCTGTTGCCTTAAGGACTCCCTTTTCAATAGGAATTGCTAGGAAAACTGGAAAACTGTCTCAATCCATCAATAAATAAACGTTTATTAAGAGCCTACTATGTGCCAGGTACTGTGCTAAGTGGTAGGTATACAAAAGGAGGCAGAAGACAATCCTTGCCCTCTAGGAGCTTACAATCTAAAGAGGGATACAACATATAGACAAATGTACACAAAGCAAGCTATACACAACATATAGACAAATGTACACAAAGCAAGCTATATATTTCCTATAAATAGGAAATAATTA